CTCTGTTTGTTTCCTTAATAAGTTCTTTCATTGATCTGCCGCTGCTAAAAACATTCGTGTCATCAGCATAAATTACGTAGCCAAAAAACGCTGATGCAGCTGGAAGATCGTTTATGTACAATATAAATAACAAAGGACCTAGGATGCTTCCTTGAGGCACACCGTTGTTGTTTCTGAGCAGACTGGAAATTTCATCGTTCACATAGACAAATTGTTTTTTTTCTGTTAAGTAGCTACGAAACCAATGCAGTGATGTATTTCTAAAACCGTACTTTTCCAACTTGTTGAGCATGATGTCGTGGTTGATGCAATCAAATGCTTTCGACAGATCTAAGCACGTTTTAATGACAAATCTTTTACATTCAGTATTGATGCCAATCTTGCGAACTAGTTCTACGATTGCTAATTCTGTAGAAAATTTCTCTCTGAAACCAAATTGGGAATTTGACAAAATATTATTTTTTTGCAAAAAACTAGTCATTCGTCGGTGCATTAGTTTTTCAAGTATTTTTGAGAATGCTGGCAAGAGTGATATAGGGCGAAAATTTGATAAATCTGTTTTTCCTTTAATTTTTTTCAATAGGAATTACCTTGGCGATTTTGAGACAGCTTGGAAATTTGCCCTTTTCAAAAGATAGATTTATCAAATATTTTAGAACAAACACAGTAGAATGAATCGTAGAGACGACAATTTTTGTTGGTATGTCATCGTAGCCACTTGATGTTTTTTGTTTCAAAGATTTTGTTGTTGCAATGATCTCATCAACCATTGCGTATCTACAAAAAAACAAGTTGGAAACAAATGTCTTGAAGTAATTCTTCCAGTGAGAATTCCGTGGAATGAGCTTCAGTAAATTCGGTGCTAATTCAACAAAATAGTTATTTAAAGCATTTGCTGGGTCAGGTATTTCAATTTCTTCATTTGTTAATTTTTGTATACTATCGGGTTTTACGTCTTTTCCGTTTTTTAACTCGTTCAGAGCAGTCCACGTTTTTTTGCTATCTCCTCTATATTTTTCAAAAAGATGATGATAATAATTTTTTTTAAAGATTTATTTAGTTTATTACAAGTTATTTTAATGCTTTTGAATTTATTTAAATTATTATTATTAGGAATCAAAAGAAACTTTTTGTAACTTTTATTTCTTTTTGGGATGAGATTTTTAACTCAGAAGAGACCCAAGGTTTGTTTTTTATTGTTTTTATAATAGTATTTCGATTGGTAACTTGACAGCATTCACGAAAACATTCCTGGAAAATAGTTATAAAAGTTTGGAATGCCTCTTCAATATTTGCGCTCTCATATACGACTTGCCAGTTCACCTGACTGAGACG